CCTGATTGTATAATAGGAAGAAAAGAACAAAACGTATATTTTCTTTTGTACAGTAACTTCTCTCTTCTAATTTTCTTTTGCTCATTTTGTGTTGAAAATGACTTGCGATAGGTTGAAACGTCCACGTTGATTTGTAAGTTAATCAATAAAATGATAGAAACTCTCGTATCTTTTGCAATTAGTATTCCGAGAGAGATATTCGAGAGTCAGTGTCAGAAAGCTTATATTTTTCGATTTATATCGTTATTTTCCAAGTAATTGGACACTGATCCTGTCAATGAAGAATTCCGCGCAGAAAATGTCACGAATTTTTTAAAGCTCTCGGGCGGACTGTTTTTTAAAGTCACGTTACGACAGTAGCAGACTGGAGCCGGCTGACCAGACGTCAGATATCGCTTCCTATATTTCATGCTATATCTTGAGAAAGAGCGTGCTATACTTACAGGCAACTGCCATCCCCAATAGTTCGGTAAGGTGGACGACATTGACCACTGGTCATTGAGAGATGAATCAAAATAATTACGATGCGAAGGAACATTTTGCGTTCTTCTTTTTTATTCACTCTGTAAAATATGAATCAAATAATAACAACCAAGTACGAAAAATACTGTGTTTATATAGGCAGAAAAACGGAAGTGCTATAATGGGCACTCTCTCTATACTAATGTTAAGTACTACTTCAATGATTTCTAGAGCGGAAATAACTTTGCTTAATAAGAAAAAATTTATTGATTTATCAAAGCAAAAAAGAACTGATTTTTCATGCCACTAAACATCCTTTGAAATGAGAATTATGATACTTGCAATGTAGAATTGATTGCAATACAAAAAAAATTCGCTGCCGCAAGGATGAATACATATATACATGTTCTTTCTCTGATTTTATTTTGATGAACAATTTTCTTTTGAAGGGTACTTGACTTTTTCCGGATCTTTTAGAAGTTATTGAAAATTAAAACCTGCATGTTTTTTTTATAGTAAAAAGGCGCACTTGAGTAGTATGTGCTGCGTTAAAACGAAAACATTTTAAAAGAAAGTGAAATACAGAGAACCGGTTCTTTGTTTGCTGATGGTAAGAGAGCTCTCCGAAGAAAAGAAGTTGATGTAGCCCCATATGCCTTTCATTTTTTTCGAAAACTCCGGAGGCTACGTTCCTCCTTTCGAACATGGAAAATTAATTTTTGCTTCAATGTTGATCTCAAAGCACTTTTCTGGAGCAGAATTTGTTGCTGATCGTGAATATCGAGTCAGAGACGGTAAAAATTTTTAGTGAAAAAAAAGCCAAAAAAACTGAAAGTACTCTCGACAGGCTCCTTCACCGTTTTTATGCACTTTTGACAAAAGAAATACATTCAAATTGCTGGAAATTTGCTGAAACAGACATATTTATTTAATGTCAAGTCTTTAAATCACAGTGGGCAATTAGGTGGAAATCAAGCAAAAAAACGAAAAATTCGCTTTTCGACATTTGAATAGTGCTACCTATACCTCAAGTTGTGAGCTATTCTGTGGCGAAAAAGTTTTTCTTTTAAGACTCAATCTGATTGAGAAATCGAGTGGACAAAACCCATGTCAGTCTCAGGGGTTTTTAGAGTACATGATTTTTTCACGTGCTCGACACAACTGTTTCGAAGTGAAAATTGCCTGTACCGATAGAGGAGCTTCTGGGCTATGTTTTGGGGTAGAATAAAAGTTTATCTAAGTGCATGGGTAGGGTCAAAATGAAAGTTTTCTGTTTATTAAACGTGTTGTAAAAATAGGGGGCTAGTAACGTAACTTTCCCCAAGTGTCCCCTCCTCCGATATACTTTGCAAATATATCAAAATGTTTGTCTTGATATCTTACATCTATACCGTTTGCACTTTAATGCGGTTTTTCATCCTGACTGAGGTATAGGTTTTCTGAAAACCCTGAGTTTTTGAGGTTTTTGCGGGCTTTCACACTTTATTTCACTTATAGACCGCTTTTTTCAAACACCAATGAGATATTCGGAATCAGCGTAAAACACTACATCGAATAATGTGTCAATTAATCATCCTTTGCAAAACTTTGTTTTTCTCAAAACTTTAAGGTAAAGGTCCCCCTCAGGGTTTTCGCTAGAAAATGTTTTTTGGTGTACAATTTCGAATTTCTGTGCTTTGCATTATCGCTACACTACACATTGAAATATTTTTGAAAACGTGAAACTGTGGGGCATGCCGTTTCTCAGACCACAAACGCGAAAACTGCGTTTAGGATCCTATAATAGGGATCCTACGTCATTTCTTGCTTTAAGATGGCAGACGTCTTTCCTATCGGATCCTATATGATTTCATAGGATCATATAAGATCAGCCAGGATCTTACAAGATCCCATATGACCTTACTATAGGATCCTTTGACCTGGGAAGTGATCTGCACACTACATTAAGAAAATAACAAAATGACTTTTATATAAATCACATTCTGTTTTTGCACATTTCGTGTAACATAAAAGGAGAATAGCAAAACGTCCTCAATAACGCACGCGGCTGTCATATAAATTTTATAACTTCATTTTATATTCAGATGTTGTATTATATATCGAGTTTTCATTTCAAACATTTGGACTTTGCTTTCTCAAAGTGATACGACAGCCACGTGCGTTATTGAGGACGTTTTGCTATTCTCCTTTTATGTTACACGAAATGTGCAAAAACAGAATGTGGTTTGAGGGCTGCGTGATTACAATTACAAAATGTAAAGTTCATACATTGCTATTATCTGTAAAATTAAGAATTCTAGAATTATGAACTTTACATACATGTAAAGTTGCTTATTTACACTCATCTTCACCCTCACCCCCACAGAGTACCACCGCCAAAGAGTATCATGTAACCATTCTCGTCTTGCTCTAAAAATCGTTCTGGACGAAATTAATCGGGTTTTAGCCAACCACGTTCATCTCTAATTATATTTTATAGTGGTATAAGAACCGTATCACCTTTATTCAATTTAACACCATCAATTTCATCGTTTTGCTGCAGTGTTCTCAATATACCATGAAGTATTGGAGCAGATCTCAGCAGTTCTCCTATAACACATTCAATATAAACAAGTTCATCTAATAGATCCATTGTCAGACATGTTTCACGTGTTATATGATGATCATTTAATTCCTGCTTCATTATAGCCTGAATATGTGGATGGACTCTCATGTAGTAAACAAACCAAGACACAGGAAAAGATGTTGCACGACTAGCATTAATAAATAATAACATTTCATCTAATAATTCGGCACGAGACAATCCTTGACAATTGAAACAATTGTCTGTAAAAAGTCAAAAACAGCACCACTTAAAAGTGATTTTTTTTGTTCCAATATCCTGCGCTTTCAAATCAAAATCAAATGCAATCAAACCAATGATATCTAAAACTAAATTTTGACTCTGTTGAACAATATTTGTATGCAAATAATTTTCATCTTTGCTTCTCCACAACTGAAGTAATGTATCAGTACATTTGATAATTTTAGATATGTGAGGGACAACATGAATTTTTTTAAAACATTGGCAACATTACACGAGAATGGTGTTTGAATTTTGAGCATTAAAAGCAAAAAGAGATAGATAAAACGTTTGTTGTTAGTTCCCTGTGATTCAAATTATCTATTTGAGCAGTTGCGATGATACGGATGATCAACTTTCTTATAGTCCAATGGCGTTCTCTATCATTGCTAACAATTTGATCGACAAAAATAATTCTTAGCAGTTTATCAGCTTTGCCAGAGTGACAAATGAATCTTTCATTACGTATAGCCCGTTTCATTGTACGATTTTTGATAGAAAAGTCTACAGATATTTATATATACCTCTTAATGCAATTAATCCATTTGGAAATAATAGTCCAAAATTATTTTCAAACATATTTGAAAAATCATAAATATGTCGTTGTGAAAATATATATTTTGCATGTTCTGCTTTATTAAATACATAACAATGATATGGTCCTAACCAATACTGATAAATATCAGTGTTGTACTTGGTGTTGGCGATTTCGGATAGTAAGGGGATAGATGGGTGAAGAATTTTGCTAATATATTTGAATAATCTATTTGTTGAATGCTGAACGTTAGATATGATTGGACGACTAGGACTGCATTGTTTATGGATTTTTGGCAGAATATAAAATGTACCGGTTGAAAATATTTTACTATAAGTTTTATATCTAATTTTATATTAGCAGCTTTCACTTCATCAATTGCTTGCTTGATGATTGCTTTATGACGGGCAGGATAACGTATATGTAGTTCTATTAAACTTTGATTTGTCTTCAATGAGCTTAATAAGGATAACACGGCTTCGTTTGAACTTTTCATATCAAAATCGAAATGAAGTGTCCTTAATGTTTTATTTTCTAACAGACCAGTTTTCATTGCATCCAAAGACACGTCAGATATGTCACCACCTAATTTAAGAGATGTCAATGTCTCATTTTGTTTCAATAAATTATATAAATTTGATGAACATTCGTTTGGTATATTGATAGATCCGAGATGAATATCGATTAATGTCTGATTTATTGTTAGTATTTCGAGTAACATATTAACGCTAAATGAAGATGATACATTATGCTCACATGTCAAGGCAATTCTTTTTAATGTTTTATTTTCACTGAGCATTGAACATAGTGGCAAAATTGATTCATCTTCTACCCTTCGTGGTTGTAAGTATAATTCACTTAATGTTGAATTTGTTTTTATTTCTTCGAATATTTTACTTAAACCTTGGGATGTGACGCCAAAATGGACAATCGTGAATGTTTTCCATGTGTTATTTATTCGAAACATTTCTGCTATTGAACCTGCATCTTCATATGATAAATCTGGATGTACATATTCAATAGAAATGTTTTCTAAATATTTATTCATACCTAATGATTTAAAAAATGCGCGCCAACTGTTTGCATTCGATGCACCCAGACCACTGAATTTTAATTTTAATAAAGTTGTATTTTTTTCCAATAATGATGCTATTATTTTTAAATCGTCATCATTCATCCGTGAGCCTAAATCCATTTCAGTTAGTTTACTATTAAATAATAACGCAGTCAATCTTTTGTTCGTATACCCATATTTCACTCTACCAAAGATATTAACAAGCCACGGATGTAAATATAGAGAACGAACAGATGAACCATTGACGACTATATTAACTAATTTATCGAGATCACGCTCGGATATTTTATTACAAGGTACGACAAGTCGATAAATATTGAAACCGCTCGATAACATCTCACACACTCGTTTAACCATTTTACTTGATAAATCCATATCACGAAACGAGACTAAACTCGTTTTTTGATCATAGCTCCCACCAATACTTTCAATTTCAGTTACAAATTTTTCGATTTGTTTATCAAAATAATTTTTTTTATAATGTTGAATACAAACCCATCTCACGTGTCCTTGATCGGATGTTGTGACACGATATAAATTGCCATAACTACGTTGTTTGTCTGATATTTCTAAATAATATTCCAACTGTCGTAACTCAGCACCTTCTAAACAATATAACGAGGACGAAGACGATGTGAAACCTTTCATCAATTCAGCACTCGTTGTATCTTTAATTGAATTCAATGTTTGATCAATTTGATCTAGTCCTTGCGTTATAAATTCGAAAGCTGTCTTTCCTTTCAATATGTCAGGTACTTGAATTGTGTTTGTTAATCCTGATATTTGTGGCAAAGCAAAACCGGCAACCATTATGGCGCCTTTAACAACACGAATCATTGTTCTCAAATATGGTGCATAGAGCGAAAAGAACTCCGTCGGTTGTCGAATAACGTATCCATTATGAAAAGCAAGATGAAGATCACCTTCATTTGTTGAACATTCACACAGAAAATAGAGCCTATATTGAATTTGAACTAATTCGGATAGAGAATTGATCGGTTTAAACTTAAATCGTTGATCGGGTAAAACGATGAATAATCTTGGAATGTTATATTCGGCCAATTCATATGTTTGTGTTAGTAACTGTTCAATTTTTCGTATTATGACAACTGTATTTTCATACGTTTGTTTACCAAGTCCTTCTAAGGCTGCAAATCGTTGTTCCATAAATTCTCGATCGATTAAATTAGAAGGAGGTAGAACAGCAGTAGTGGTCGATGATGATAGATCAATATCGATGATGTCGTGCAAATGAGCTTGGATCCGTTTTGGTTGACCTTGTTCATCCCGAATCGGTGACAAATAAACATCATCGATGTGTAATGTAAAATTATTTGTTTGAATTTGAAATACTTCTTTAATATCCGCAAAATAAATCCATTGTTGACCTTCAATTTGATGTGTTTGAAGTTTTCGAGTTTGATCGCCAACTCGAATTCGTTGATAATTCATAACTGAAATACAAATGTGATGATTACCAACATGTCTTTTGCATTACTGACAATGACTTATTGTGATGATCTGCAACGATTCTCTACACACACACATCCGTGATGACTGTTTTGTCACCCGTGAGGGTAATTTTGATTAAAAACTTGCGATATATCGAGATGCTAAATGTGCTGAAATATCGCGATAATGAGCGACTCTGTCATGATATAAATGTTATGACGGTATCTGAGCCTATCGATAAAACGCAGTAGAAGAAACTATCGTGATATACAAGTCATTTAGCGTTGTAAATACCTGCATGTGAATAATACGCTAAAAGTATCGATAAAACGCTAAAAGTATCGCGATTAAATTTTTTATTCCTATGAATGAGGAGATTACTTTTCCCGTGTTTTATCTCGATATGAAAGAACATAGCGATAACTATTGTCCAACCCAAAAAAGAATGGTAGATGAGTGTTTTTTGAATAACTTTAATAGAAAAGAGCTAGAGAGCTCTAATTTTCAGCAGTCGAAAGAGAAGACTTGGGAATATGTTTTCATAACCAAAACGTTTCCCAGAAGAGTTTTCTGGGAGATCTTTGGAAAACTAGCCCGTGTGTAAAACGTTTCCAATAGGATTGTATAGAGTTTTTTTCATGCTGAGTCTCGCTATAATATTTGTTTTTAGAAAAGGTTCGGGCGAGTTTTCTACTAAAGAATGCTCCGAAATTCTACCAAAAAGCGAGTTTTACGAAAATTAGAGTATCACGCTGTTTTCTTCTAATATTAAAAGGATGTACTATTCAGTCATAAAACATCAGAACCAGTTCAAAGTAGCAGTATACGATTACTGCTGTCTGCTAAACGCGATTATAAGATCGAAAAAATCCATATTTGTGTTAGTAGGTTGTCTAGCAACCGTTTAAGAAGCCTTAGGGTGTTGTAAAATTTATTTTGTGATTTCCTATAAACGTGATATAAAATAGCCTAAATAGTCTGTCTATATTATGAAATTCTGAACTGGTTCTGATGTTTTTTTAGTGAACAGTACATTTTTTTAATATTAGATGAAAACAGCCTGAATACTCTAATTTTCGTAAAACTCGCTTTTTGGTAGAATTTCGAAGCTTTTATAAACACAAATATTGCGACGAGACTCAGCGTGGTCGATGACGTATAGTTCATCCGTCTTCAAGACTACCGATCGTCATCGGATGCCAGTCCTGAGACTCGTAGGAAATTCGATACAGCGCCCGAACCGCAGAAAACAAGGTCTCGGTTGACTCTCAATTTGATGAGGACACTCGGGGCTTTGCATCCATGAAAAAATCTATACAATCCTATTAGAAACGTTTTACACACGGCCTAGTTTTCCAAAGATCTCCCAGAAAACTCTTCTGGGAAATGTTTTGGTTATGAAAACATGTTCCCAAGTCTTCTCTTTCGACCGCTGAAAATTAGAGCTCTCTAGCTCTTTTCTATTAAAGTTATTCAAAAAACACTACCATTCTTTTTTTGGATGTTCAAATAGTAAGATTACCGAAGATAACTGATTCATCTCGGCAATTTTCGAGAAAAGTTATCGTGGTTTGTCTTTTGGGTTTCGAATCAAAAGGCTCTCTTTTGTTATATAAAAATATCACCACTCGCTTTTACGTTTACTACTATATATATACTTCTTTCTTTCTTTTGATACTTTGTAACAATCTTTATTGTCTGATGATGGCAAGAAAACTTGTCGAATCTCAATAAAATAAATTTGATTAAAGTATTAATCATGCTCTGTGCAGTTTTGTACTTTCTCTACAATTTAATTCGATTTTCAACTGCTTTCTCTCCAAGTTTTATAGCCTACTAGATTCTGAGCAAAAAGCGTTGATTATGACAACTGTATTTTCATACGTTCGTTTACCAAGTCCTTCTAAGGCTGCAAATCGTTGTTCCATAAATTCTCGATCGATTAAATTAGAAGGAGGTAGAACAGCAGTAGTGGTCGATGATGATAGA